AACTCTACCATAATTATCACCAAATAATAGAATCCAAGTAGAAGATAAAAGTACAGAAAAGAAATTTCACATTTAAGGAAGATAAAATCCAAGTCAAACAACGATAAATATATATATATATATATATATATTGTAACATGCGTAATCAGCAGTCACTGAAGGGCGGATCAGATCTAAAATCACACACACACAAGGTTAGCTGATCACGTCACACCAACAGAGAATATGTAGTGGTAGCCACGGCACTCTTTGCTTTTAGAGATTATATTATGTAGGTTTTTGTGCAGAAATGGGGTTGTTTGTTTACCAACGTCTTAATGAGTCATCCTGTAAGTTCAGAGCATGCAGGGCTTGTTATTGTTAGGATATTCATCCAATATCCTAAGAGAATTATTGCTCGAATCCTATTGGTCGATTTCTATTGGTAAAAATTATGATCGTTTTAACTGTCAAAGTCAAATACTTCAATCTTGTCTCTTATTGGTCATCCGGACTGTCAATGTCATTTCAAATGTTACTTCCTATTGGTCGTATTAACTGTCAATGTCACAGACTTCGATGCTGTTTCCTATTCGACCAAAATGTATAAATACGCATTATCTGTAGCGTTTTATGATCAGGACCAGGACCCGGATCCGTAGTCCGGGATCCTATTTCTCTTCTGGATTTGGACCTCGTACTTTTTGGATGCTTGTAGAATACAGATTCTACTTCATATCACGTCTTCTTCTTTTTTACTCAATATGGGGGCTGGGATAATCTGATTTGAGTAGTAGCGTGTCGTGTCACCGGATTCTCGATCGTCGCTCTCGTTTTTCCGACTAGGTAAACTCGTAACAGTTCTTCAGCATCCAAAGCGTTTATGTTTGATCGCCATGTAATAGAAAGAAAACACAACGGGTTAACAACATCATACATTGTGATTTTAACTTCATTACAATATATTTATTGTAAGGTTCGTCATTAGGTAACGCTTGAAGCTATGACGAGTTCACCTTGGTCAATAAACGTGAATGAGACAATGAACCAGTGTCAAGGTAGGCTACCCTGATCTGAAAACTGTAAAACAGAAATCTTGATGTAGCGTAGAAAGTATATTCTACAAACACCCAGCAATCACAATACAATCAAGCACACAAATCTCGTTTATTTATACATCATAGAAACATCCTTGGGACAGTCACAAAAATAGCACACTAAAATACACAGCAGCCAATCACAGCTATGGATTTTCCTGATGGGGAATGAAATCTCAAGGTCACTGCCCATTCTGGCAAATGTGAAATCCAAAATCTAGGCATTTATCATGCGAGTTCTGGGAAACTAACGTCTTCAACATTTATATATCACTGTGACCATCAATCCCTTCTAAACTATCGGTATATCGCTAAATAAAATAACCCTAACACTAGACTGAGACAACTTATTTCTTGAGGATTTAATTTTTTCTAAAAAATACTCACGACCTTTCTTATATATATACTAATGGGGGAGGGGTTATAAGATATTGATTCCTTACTTATCACAAAATTTTCAGAAAATATTTCCTACTTTATGACTATTGACAATCAGTGATTGTTAGACCACCATTAGAAACTTGGAAGCACTGAAAGACGGTCGTTTCGTCCTGGTATGGGACTCATCATCAGCAGTGCGCATCCACGACTCCTGCTACCTACAGGATTAGAATCCGGGAACTTCGGTTTTGCGAGCGAACGCTTCAACTCTGGACAACTGAGCAACCATCCAACGGTGTTAATGTCTAACTCTGACCAATCTAAAAATTTTGCACAGCTTCATCCATTGTTTTCAGTAGTTACTGTCTACACCCAACAGTGTTGAACTCCATCGGTCACGTATTCTCATTAGAACTCTGAAACTTTCCTCATGAAGCTGGTCACTAGTGAGCACATTTTGCAAATATATATATATATATATATATATATATATATATCCTGAAAGAGTTGATAAGTACTGCCAGATTCGAACGAATATCAGTGAAATATTTGGGCCTCTACTGTTACTATGATAACAGTTAAAGGAAAATAGGTTGATTTCAATAATAAAACCCTCTATATGCACAAATGATAACTTTTCAGTTAACAAATATACTTTGAAATTTGAGATTTCACAAAAACACTTGACTAATATTAGTTTCCAATAAACTATATATCACCAAACATAATATATCTGCTTATTTCTTCTGAAAACTAAGTAGATCACCATCGGTCGCTATGTAAATTAGTCGGAAGCGATTGTCAAAAAGTTTCAAACTTCACTTTTATGTTAAATAGGACGCATGAGTTTAAAACGCATTAGCAATGCCCCTGAAATTACTCACGTTCTAGTGCGCACTGCTGAAGTGTCCCATACCAGGACGAAACCGCCGTCCAGTGCTTCTTCCAGGTTGCTAATGGTGATCTAACAATGATTGATTGATTGATGATTTCAAAAATGTATAAAAATTAGACTGTTTAAATTTACATTAGTCTATTTTTATGAATCCTTCGTAATTGTTTCAATAAAAAATTTTTCGATTGGGATCATTATTTGGCTTTAGACAACCTTAAAAATCTACTGGAAACAAGTTATGAACCTCAGCTATTTTTAGTTACAGATTCTACATAATTTACTCTGCACACAAAATCACAATAGTAGTTAATCCAGTTGGGCGTTAAACATTTATGAGCTAAACAAAAAAAGTGTTGTCCATGTATCATTTAACAATCTGATATCGATAAGTAATGAGTAGTTTTCGATTATTATTATAATTCCTAATTCTATAATATAGTACTTATTTACTTACTTATTTACGCCCGCTACCCCCCAATGAAGTATAGGCCGACGACCAGGTTTCACCGATCTGTTCTGTCCTGGGTTTCCTTTGTACAGTTCTATTCAAATTTTCTTTATTTTTCTAATGTCTTTCACTATTTCTCGGTGTAATGTGTTCTTTGGCCTTCCTCTTTTCCTTTTGCCTTGAGGGTTCCATGTGAGGGCTTGTCTTGTGACGCAGTTAGGTGCTTCTCGTAGTGTGTGTTCTATCCACTTCCACCCACTTCTTCCTGATTTCCTCCTCCACTGGAATCTGATTTGTTCTATCCCACAGTAGGCTGTTGCTGATGGTTTCTGGTGAATGAATCCGCAGTATCTTGCGTAGATATCTGCTTATAAATACCTGTATCTTTTGGACGATGGTTTTGTAATTTTCCAAGTTTCCGCTCCATACAGTAGAACTGTCTTGACGTTTGTATTGGAAATTTTGATTTTGGTGTTGGTTGACAGATGTTTTGAGTTCCAGATATTTTTCATTTGTAAAAATGCAGCCCTTGCTTTGCCAATCCGTGCCGTCAAATCTGCATCGGATACACCTTTCTCGTCGATGATGCTGCCAAGATATGTAAAGGTGTTAACGTCATCCAAGGCATCTCTATCAAGAGTGATTTAGTTGGCTCATGTTGTGTTGCATCGGCGAATCTTACATTTCCCTTTATGTATGTTGAGACCTACTGCTACACTGGTCGTTTTCTCTTGCATTTGTTGTTGCGTGTGCAATAGAAGAGCCAGGTCATCTGCGAAGTCCAGATCGTCCAGCTGCATCCGAGCTGTCCATTGGATACCATGCTTCTCCCCAGATGCTGACGTCTTCATAATCCAGTCGATCATCGGGAGGAAGAGAAAGGTTGAGAGTAAGCAGCCTTGTATGACATAGGTCTTCATCTCAGCTGTCATCCGTACACGATTTCGCAGTTTGATTCACCGCATGAATTCCGTATGATGTTGACTATCTTCTCAGGGACGCTATAGTGCAGGAGAAGCTTCCATAGTGTTGTCCTGTCCACGCTATCAAATGAAGTTGATGTAGAGTGGTGAGTTCCATTCTATTGATTGTTCCACAATGATCCGTAATGTAGCAATTTGGTCAGTACACTACTGATCCTTACGAAATCCAGACTATCAATCTCGAAGTTGGGCGTCTACGAAGTCCTTCGCTCCGTTTAACAATACCCTGTTGAAGACTTTGCCTGGTACTGAGAGAAGAGTGATGCCTCTGTAGTTCTCACACTTGCTCATATCGCCTTTCTTTGGTATTTTGATCAGGTATCCTTCTTTCCAATCTGATGGCACTTGTTCCTCATCCCAAATTTTTCTGAAGAGAATGTGAAATATATTTGCAGTTGCCTCTACATCTGCTTTCATTGCCTCTACTGGAATGTTGTCTGGTCCAGCTGCGCCAATAATAATTGGGAGGTCCGTGGATGCTGCTTCGATGTTGGGTGTGTTCAGCGGGGCTGGTCGATTCAAGATTTCCTTAAAGCGCTCTACCCACCTGCTTTGCTGTTCTTCAATATTGCTGATTACTTTGCCTTCCTTACTTTTTACTAGTCCTTCTGGATTAAGATAATTGTATCGTACAATTTTCTCAAGTCTCCTTCTCTTGCAGTCTTCTCGGCCGCCATTGCTAGATCTTCCACATATTTTCGTTTGTCGGCTCTAATGCTCTTCCTCCCTTGCTTGCGTACTTCTGTGTATTCAGTGTATGCCTTGCCTTTCTCTGATGTTATCTACTGCCTTCTTGTTCCTTAAGCGTACCAACAGAGCTACATCATAAATAATAATAATGGTAATAATATTCATCATTCAACTAGTTCTTTCCAAATAACGTTTATGAACATTGAAAATAAACGTTCTTTCTTATTTTTTTTAAAAAAAAAACTTTCACTCAACATTCTATTCCAATAATTTCTCCTACTTACTATACAGCGATTCCATTGGTTAATATTATTAAATGGATGAAAAGAAAAAAATTTATATAAAACTCAATTTTTATTGGTTAAAAATTATGCGCATGAATTGTATGTTTTCAGAATAACTTTGCTTTATTATGATTGGTTGCCGATAAAACAATTAGCGTTTTGTTTAATTGTTTAATTGTATTCATAATTTCATATGTTGATTAATTAATAGTATTATTATTCAATAACATGTTCAACAGTTCAATGGATTATGAAAATATCAATGAAATTTTACCAAAGCCAATAAATTATTTTACTGATTGGAATCAAAGCACAGAAATTAAAACTATGCGTAACCATGAGAATACAATCATGACAAAAACATCAAAACAGCTACATTTTTCAATTGATGCCTTGTTAGATGATGAGGATGTTGAAGATGACATTAATGGTGACGTTAATGACGGTGATCATGAGGATGACGGCGATGACGGAGATAACGAAAACATGGACGCTGACGATTACACTCATTGTCGTCATCGTTTAAATAGTTCTGACGAAAATAACTCAGAGCTCAATAATATTAATATTGACAACATTAGTACTAATGATCCTGATCATCATTTCAACAGAACCACAACTACATTATTCAATGAAAATCAAGTTAGTGATAATAAATCCCCTGGGAAATATAACAATGAAAAATCTATGAATAAATTGAAAAAACGTCATGACAACAAATTGCCACGAATAAATCAAACTAACAAAATATCAACAAATTTATCATTTCATAATTACACAAATAAAGATACTACTGATAATCATATAAGTAATAGTAATGGTAGTAGTAATCATATTGTCAATGAAAGAAATCCTCATCAACAAATGTCTTATTTTAAAAAACATGATTTTTTTAATTCATTGCATGAATTGTCATTCAATGATTATTTAACATTTAGTAATGGTGGGATTGGATGTAAGTGTCAATGTTTTTTTCTCTTGTTGTGTAGTTACCGCGCTAGAACTTTGTCACCTATTCACTAGTCAATAATAGTCATGATAATAATACTGACAGCGCCAAAGACGTTTGGTTGACCTTCAGTTTGTAGTTTCCACCACTGGGGAAATCCTTGACTGTTCTTAGGTTGGTGGATTAGTTTTAGTTGTGCTAAATTTGTAGCTCTCACCAATGGCGTTTCTATCATTGTATAAATAAGCTTGAGTTGTGTACTTAAAGGACGTAGAATTTTCTGGGTGCTTGTAGAATACATTCTCTATACGTCCTTTAGTTAGCAGGGTCTGGGGCAATAGGATTAGAATAGCCTATCGTGTCACTGTATCATTGATCTCTGTTCGGTTTATCGAGTAAGTGGGAACTCGTAATAGTGTTTAAGCGAGTATATCATGTTCATAACGATAACTTCATATCGATAGTCTATTTAGGAATGACATTTTTTTAAAATTCATCTTATTATACACTAATCATGACACTAAAATAATCTTAAATTTCATTATATGAACTTGTAACTATTTGCATTCAATAGTTTTTATAGATAATACGATTGAATATTGAATTTGAAAGATAATAAGTTCGAATAAGTTCGGTTTCTATTGTAACGCCGAGAAGTATTCCTGCTCACTTATCAATTCATTGATTTGTATTTGGCGCTATCCCGTTATATCAATAATTATATGCTTCAATAAATAAATATTTATATTTACTCGACGAGCTTTGTTTTAGGAATAGGTTGGAAGAAAGTTAGGGGCGGCCAAACCAAAACATGGCAGAAATCCATGAAGTCATTGACAAGTGGACTGAGTCATGTTGGTAGTTGTCGACTACCTGGTTGGAATCCGCGAGATGATAATAATCGATGGTTAGAGACCATGAATGACATGGCTCAAAATCGTTCGCAATGGCGCCGGTGCATTTATTCTCTGTGTTCTCTCAAATCCTAATCTTCTGGATTCTTCAACACCTCTAGTTTCGACTCTCTAAACTTTTCTCACTGAATCATACTTCTTGAATAATATCTTTTAATCCTAACCTCTTTGATTACTCCTAATACCTTTACTACCTCTACTACTATTAGATTTGAATTGACAATTACATCTCTGTGCTAATGTGGTATAGCAACATGAACTGACGTACTTATGTACGAAGTTCTATGTTGCATCTGACTGACTGACTGACTGACTATTCAATAGTCAATCAACTGTACATTCATTTGTTCAATGTACAGTCATATTTTCTTTGTATGAAATGTTCACTAATGAAATTGAAATTTCTTCTAATTATAAACATCCAACTCAATTTATTTGTTTGAATAAATAAATAACTTTTTATTTCATACACTTGAACTTAATAGAGAAAATCATTGTTATGAAACAGACCATATTTTTCAATAAATTACGGGGAAATTTATTTTTTTTCACGTGTTAATTAAATAATAAGGCGGTTAAAAGAGTTGGATGAGTTTTTTTAGTATATATTTTGAAAACCAAAAAGGCAGTGAATAGCTAGTTGGTTTTTTTACTGATTGTACAGAATTCTTTACTAGTTCACTTTCAATGTGTTGGGGATATTAGATCCCCAGAACTCGCTTGATAAATTTTGGATTTATTTCATGGACCGATCAGTTGACCTTGAGATCACATTTTCCGCTAGTAGAATCCTTGGTTGTGATTGGTTACTGTATTATTTTAGTGTGCTATTTTTGTGACTCTCTCAAGGACGTTTCTATGGTGTATAAATAAACGCAATTTGAGTGACTGGATTGATTGTGTGCTGACTGGATGTTTGTAGAATGCAATTTCTACGCTATATCAAAACTTCTTGTTAGTACATTTGGGTCAACGGATCAGAGTGGCCTACGTGGACGCTAGTTCAACAAAGGAGAACTCGTAATCCTTTCAAGCATACCTAGAGACGAGAGTATTAATTTTCAAAATAGTTTCCTGAAATCAGTTCATAATGTGTAATATTCCAAAATAGATTTTCTTTAACTAACTATAACTTACCATGTAAATGTAGTCGAACTCATGTTGTTGTTCCACAGTTGTTCCACACTGTATGTTAACAAACTAGTCTGATAATATGATTTCGTCTAACATTGTTTAATTGTACTATAAATTTAATTACTGAATTATGAAATAATTAAATGAACACTAATACTTACTTGAATTAATTTTTGTTCTGTGTAGCGTTTTCCTTTAGCTTTTTAAGCAAGTTGGCTTGTTTTCTACGGGATTAGGGGGGGGGGAGGTTGTTAATCTCATTCTCAAACCTCCTCTCCCTCCTTCTTTATCCGCGTTTGGGACCGACAGTAACCTTGGAAGGGATCCAGGAGGAGTTATGATGAACTAAATGATATTATCTAAAAAGAAAACATTAGATGAACGTTGATATATTTTAGTGAATAGACTGAAGGTCCTACGTTCATTCTCTTGATGCGTTGATTGATGCATACTGAGAATAGAACAGCTGTCTAGTGCTTTGCTGTTTTTTGAATAGTACCCCATAAGTGAAATCAACGAAACGTGAATACTACGTACAAATTGAACTGACCTTCACAAAACTTTTCTAATTAAACCAATGAAATAACTTGAATTATTACTATATATAAACAATAGTTTAGCTATGAATCATCTTTAACATTATCTAATCAAACATAGTAATATGAATTTTTAAAACAATTACAAGTTTGGTATTATGAAACCATGGTGCTGAAATATTCTCTTCAGTATATCAATAAATGCGTATTGTGCATAATAGGCTTATAGAGATTGTTGGGTTACTCTTTAAATCACAAATCGACCCATGTTAGACCACTGTTAGAAACCTGGAAGAACTAAAAGGCGACCGTTTCGTCTTGGTGTGGGATTCATCAGCATTGCGTATTCACGACTCCTGCAAATCGCAGGATTCGAACCCAGGACCATCGGACCGAATGAGTCTTCAACATATGGCTATGATCAAATAAATTTTAATGAGATAATATAGCTGAGAGTATAAAGTTAACTGCCCACACTAGTACTGTTGTAGTTCACCTTGAAGTTGTAGTGTTCTAGATGATTGAATCATCTGAGATGCAGCTACTATTAATGTGAAACTAGTAAATGCCCACTTAGATTTTACTATTTTTTGCCGTCTTATGTATCTCATCTCAATTTTTCTACCACTCTCTTCGGAAATGATGTATAATGTTAACTTGACCCATCATAAATACAAATTTTTTCAATTAGAATTATGGAGGTCATTGTTTCTTCGCATAAAAATCATGAATCAATTATTGTTAGACTACTATTAGAAACCTGGAAGTACTGAATGACCGTTTCGTCTTACTATGGGACTCATCAGCAGTACTGCTGATGAACTAAGATTTACTGAACAAATAAATAATGGCTTAACTAACATTTCCATCACTTACTTACTCCCTTAATTACTTACTTAGTTACTTAGTTATTTACGCATGTAATCCCCAATGTAGCATAAGCCACTGACCAGTTTTTTTCCAACCTGCTCTGTCCTGGGCTTCTCTTTCCACTTCTGTTCAATTTTTGTTCATCCCTCTCATATCTTTCTCTATTTCTCGGCGTAATGTGTTCCTTTGTCCCCCTCTTTTCCTTTGATGTTGAGGGTTTAATGTGAAGGCTTGTCTTGTCACGCAGTTGGGTGCTTTCCTCAATATGTGCCCTATCCATATCCCTCGCTTATTCCTCATTTCCTCTCCTCTAGTAGGTGAACGGATCCGAAGTATTTTGCGTAGACAACTATTAATGAATACTTATATCTTAATTTCCATTACAAGTAGTTAATAACAGTATAAACCATAAGTTGAAATCAGACAACATTAGATGTTAGTTTGCTGTTTTGCCTTAAATTAAGAACTTCTCAACTATACCAATCTACAACTTTACGTAACGCATAACTTTGCAAAGTCTTTTATTGAGTCCACATCTACTGTCCATCATATATCGAAAACATTATTGTCTGTATGTTAAATATAACTGAAAAATCGTAAAATGTAATTACTAGTGACTAGCTAGCTTCGTGAATAAATTCTCGGAGTTCTAATGATACGACGCGACCCGTGGAGTTCAACCCTATCAAACATAAATGGGTGAGGTCACTCGAAATCCCTAGATCAATCAGAGTTAGACATTAACACTTCTGGATGCCGGCTTAGTGGTCCAGAGGTTAGGCATTCGCGCACAAGACCAAATGTCCCGAATTCGAATCGTGAGAGTTGCAAGAGTCATGGATGAGCACTGCTGATGATGAATCCCATGCCAGGACGAAACGGCCATCTTCCAGTGCTTCTGGGGTTTCTAATGGTGGTCTAACAATAACTGAATGATTGATTGATTATTTCAAATGTGCGCAAAAAGTATACAGATAAATTTATTCTCGTATTCTTAATCTGAATAACTCTAGAAATTAAAATTTCATAATAAATATATATGAAGGAATCCTCCTGCTTCCCATCCTCCTCCTCCTCCTCGCTACCTCCACCATATTCAACTTCTCAATCAATGACCAATAATTTATTTATTCCAATATCTGTAATAAAAAAGCGATGTGTAGATGGCAAGTTATATATACATACATAAATAAATCGTTTCATTTTATCAAATAAATGTCATCATTCCTATGATATATATATATATATATATATAATGTTTATTGTAATTACTAATAATTAATAATTATATTTATATTAATGACACGAATTAAAATAATAATAATGATAATAATAATAATTATTATTTTTATTGACCTAAGTTCAAATTATTCAATGATATTTCATTGTAATCTATGTAAGAAATGCAAACTTTATTGTGAATTAACAGTAGTATTAACAGTAGTAGTAGTAGTAATATTAATTAGTGTGAACAGAGTAATAGTAATAATAAATTTATTTATTGATAAATTGTGTTGTGTTGTATAATTAAACAGTTTACTTTCCGGTATTTGTATATACATATATAAATTCAATCTCTTTGATTATTGTAAGTTATTCCGCTTCATTTTATGGGTGCATCTGTTTATGTATGTGTGTGTACGTGTGTGCAATGTTTGTGCAATGTTTCACATAAATACAAACGTTACACAATGGAATTCCGTTTTATTTAGCCTTAAAAATGAAAAAAGACGGGAAGTTCTAGTATATACTACTACTATGCATGGATATTTTTTGAAATTAAAAAAATCAGTATTCGACATTTTAAAATTCCAACTCCCCCTAAGCGTACAACAACATGAACAAAAATTCTACTGTATACATGTATACACTCACACTATACAAAAGTTCTATACTTCAATGAAATAACTACCAAGTGGTTCTTAACTTTTTAAATAATACCTCAATTAATCTGGGACGAAAATTATCTTGAAACCAATTAAGTTTTCATTACTGGTTTGTTGTGAAGATTGTTAAGTTACACAATTTATTTTGAAACCATGAATCGATCAATCATTGTTAGACCACACCATTAGAAACCCGGGAAGCACTGCAAGTTGGGCGTTTCGTACTGGTATTGGACTCCTCAGCAGTGAGCATCCAGGTTTCTAACGGTGTTGGTCTAACATTGATCGATTCATGGTTTCAATTAAGTTTTTAATTTGAGTCCAATTATATGTAGTGATCTACTACTTGCATAGCATTCGATTTTGTTTTTGTATTAAACAAGTCAACAACAGTTTTGAATTTTGAATTTTCAATGTTCAAATTAAACATATAGTTAGCGTAGGGTTCGTCATTAGGAACGCTTGAAGCTATTACGAGTTCACCTTGGTCGATAAACGCGAACGAGACAATGAACCAGTGTCCAGATAGGTTACCTTGAATCCCAAACTGTAAAACAGAAGACTTGGTAAGCGTAGAAAGTGTATTCTGCAACACCCAGCAATCATAATACAAACAAGCATACAACTCTCGTTTATTTATACATCATAGAAACGTCCTTGAGACGGTCACACTGAAATACACAGGAAAGGATTTTCCTGGTGGGAAATGAAATCTCAAGCTCAACTGACCAGCCCATGCTGGCATACGTGAAATCGAAATAAGGCATTTATCAAACGAGTTTTGGGGATCTAACATCCCCAACAATTAGTTCAATTTTTGAATTCGTTTTTTTTACTGTTCGAGTAAGAAATGAAACATTTGAATTTATTGAAAGGTTCTTTTTACTTTTTCAGTAGAAAACAAATTACTTCTGAATACCACAAACTATTCACTGTTTAATGGTTAAGGTATTGAAATTTTAACTATTTGGTTGTATTGTAGTGAAGGAGAACACCGGTGAGGGCAACCGAAATGTATTTAAAGAAAATTACAGAGTTACTCAGTAAAATCGGAAAACCATATCGTAAACGGTTAATTTTCAAATCTTCAATCCATCATCAATCCATTGTCTGACATTCCACTCACTATTCATGCGTTTCATACACAAATTCCATTATGTTCTAACTCTTCCTTTCTTGATCTTCCCCCATCTTCTGTTGCCCGACATTACGTCTTCACTCGCGTCATATACTACTTATAAGCAGCGCGTACCACAGTATGTTTAAATTTAGTTCCAATTAGTTTGATTCAGAGATAGATCAATGAAATCGTTAGTTGTCACATTTTAAGTTCAATTCAAAGTTCAATGCAGAAATCAGTTTTTTTGTCAAATAAGTTCCTTTATTGTTTAGTAATCAGTTTCGAATTTATCCTATCCACTGAAAGTTAAACAGTATCATAAACTTCCATATATATCATATATCAAAGCTGTACCAAAGTATACAATAGTCAACATACGACTCGCATTGATTTTGATTTGAATGTAAATGTAACTTAAATGTTAATCGAATGTTCAACTAAGTATTAACAACTGAAGCACTGTCTCATCTAATCGTCAATATCCGTAGAATGTCATCGATTAGTTCTTTATTGTGAAACCGATCAGCTAAATGACTCGACACAACAATCTACTATGTTACATAATATAGGCGTAGAAAAACATTCTACAGGTTACTTGTTAAGTTAAGTTTCACAATTTTTACTAATCCCTAATGGATATACACTTGTAATCGACACAAGAAAGATTCAAAGTTACCGCGAATGTTATTATCAATAAATGATCATTGAACATCGTATTCAATTGATAATTTTTTTCAAAAAAAAACTAAACGAAACTAATATCTGAAATCATCAATCAATCATTGTTAGACCACTATTAGAAGCCTGGAAGCACTGAAAGACAGCCGTTTCGTCCTGGTATGGGACTCATCATCAGCAGTGCGCATCCCCGACTCCTGCTCCTCGTGGATGCGCACTGCCACTGCATCCATTCACTCTCTGCTCATATATATAATCTACGTAGTAGTATAACATTACAGTAGGTTAGTAACTATCAAGAGGATTGAGAAAATTAATTGATCATTGAACCAGTTGATCAATGACACGTCAAACTGTTCAAAATTCAACTCTCTGATTGACTCAATAACATGAGGAGTATCGTTTTAGGAAACAGAAATCCCAATTAGACTGAGATATGCTTTAAAATCTTTCTCTTAATTGTTATCAACAAAATGAAATGACATGGATATCACAATAATGAGTCAATTAGAAACTAGTACTTACTTACTTACTTACGCCTGTTACCCCCAATGGACCATAGACCGCCCACCAGTTGTCTCCAACCAACTTTGTCCTGGGCTTCGCTTTCCAGTTCTGTCCAATTTTTGTTCATTCTTCTCATATCTCCCCTGTTTCGCGGCAATTAGAAACTAGTACTTACTTACTTAATTACGCCTATTACATCGAATGGAGCATAGGCTACCGATTAGAGTTTTCTGTAAAGAGTTGGATTTCTGTTGGGATGGGATCATCATTCTCATGTCCAACTTTGCTACTTTACCTGGTCTGGAAACCGGCAGTAACTTCGGAAGCGCTGTAGGAGTAGTTGGTTGCCTAGTAGCTACATTGGAATTCAATAAAAACAACTCTTATTTTGTTCTAATAATTCAGCATAACAAATTCATTTTTATTTTTTTTTATAACAACTAAAGAATATTTTCTTTTCTTTGAAAATTTTTTTTCTCCCTTAGCTCGATCAATTCCACAAAAATGTACATTACGTAAGCATAAACCAAATCGTCGACCAAGAACACCATTTACAACTCAACAATTATTAGCATTAGAAAGGAAATTTCGTCAAAAACAATATTTATCTATTGCAGGTTAGTTTTTTTCTGATGAATGAATGAATGAATTATTGATTTATTTATCTATGGGTGAAGTCGAGCAAAATCCCTAGGATCAATTAGAGTTAGACATTAACACCATTGGTTTAGAGGTTAGGTGTTCAAAATGCAAAATGTTGCTTCAAGATTGGGTTGCATCGGCACCTGAATTCGTGATAGGGAGTGAAGTAGTCGAACGTGTAGACCGCTACACTTATCTGGGAAGTCTCATCGGTGCTGATGGCCTGATGATTGACGAAATCTCAGCTCGGATACAGAAGGCTCGATTGACTTTTGCCAAACTGCTTCACTTATGGCGTAGGCGAGATATCCGTTTTCTGACTAAAGGACGAGTGTACTGTGCAGTGGTTCGCTACATCCTACTTTATGTCTGTGATACATGGCCAGTGAGAGTAGAAGATATTCGTAGGTTACTGGTTTTCGATCATAGTGTGGTGCGTGCTACTTATAAGTAGTATATGACGCGAGTGTCAACGTAATGTCTGGTAGCAGAAGATGGGTGAAGATCAAGAAAGGAAGAGTGGGAACACAATGGAATTTGTATGAAACGCATGAACAACAGTGAAATGTCAGACAATGGATTGATGATTGCTTGAAGATTTGAAAATTAACCGTTTACGATATGGTTTTCCAATTTTACTAAGTAACTCTGTAATATGCGATAAATACAATTCGGTTGCACTTACCTGTGTTCTACTTCACTATGATTCTACTTTTATACTCAATCTGAAAACTGAAAATCACTTGTTAGGTGATGGCAGGACGAAACGGCCGTCTTGCAGTGCTTCCCGAGTTTCTAATGGGGTGGTCTAACAATGATTGATTGATTGATTGATTGATTGATTGATGATTTCAAACGTGTAACAAACACTAGTCTCCATAATTCTAATTGAAAAATTATTTATTTACTTTTCATAATTCTCGCATACATCAATTTTTGTTTGTTTTGTTGAACTCTATTCTCAGTATTTGAGTCTCTTGATCATTGTCACTGCTACTGCTTGTGCAATTATTTCGACTCCTTCCCTATCCATTACACGTCTTTTCAGAATAACCTTGACTAATGCGTAATTGTTTGTACCAAACCTTGTTTTGATTATTGTCAGTATAATTTTGACGTACAGTCTTTATGTAAACCAAAATTTTTTTTTAATCACGTCTACTTACATATATTATTGTATTGATAAGAACTAACAGAAACACATGAGAAATGCTACTATTACATACATATGACGGTTTGATTATTTAACCCGTGTTGAAATGAAAAGGTTCATTTGATCAGTCTGGATTAGCAAACGTGGTTATTGGTCGAATGACTTCAGTAGTACGTTCAATTTACGAAAATAAACTATTACCAACAGTAGATAACTTGTTGACATTTTAACATGAAAGGTACTCGATTTAAATTCCAGATATAAGTTAACTGTGTATTCCAGACTAACAATATTTGAGAGATTTGTTAAGACAATTAAAAAAAACTTACTATTTTCTCACCTAAATCCTTCCAATTTGTTGACTTTTGTTGACTTTTATGAACAAATAAATTGATTATACTTTTGTTGGGGATGTTAGATCCCCACAGCTCGTTTGATAAATGTCTTACTATTGGATTTTATTCATGGGCTTGTCAGTTGACCGTGAGATCAGAAGAATCCTTTGCTGTGATTGGTTACTGTGTTCTTTTAATGTGCTATTTTCGTAACTGTCCCAAGGCCGTTTCTATGATGTATAAATAAACGCGATTTGTGGGCTTGGATTCATTGTGTGCTGGCTGGGTGTTTGTAGAATACACTTTCTACGCTCACAAAGCCTTTTCATTAGTTCCTTTGGGTCAAGGGATCACAGTAGCCTACCTGGACGCTGGTTCATTGTCTCGTTCACGTTTATCGACTAAGATGAACTCGTAATAGCTTCAAGCATACCCAGTGACGAACATAACACTTTCTTAATCAATAATTAACTCATATACCTTTCTATTTCTCTTATCTATTCACTACTGTTTAAGCCTCTCAACCTGTTAGTACAAACCTCTTCTATCCAATTAAAAAAAACTAAAAACATCATTACAATGTGTAGAGTAATTAAGCCAAAACAATTTAAAAAAATCACTTTGTATTCATTAACCATCATTTAGTTTAATTTATTCACAACTGATTATTCACAACACTCTATTCAAGTAAGTAAGTAAGTAAGTAAGTATAAAGTACACATCAGTAAATAATTAATTTCTATTTAGTTGACCTAATTTAAAAAGTAATTACAAATTATAAACTAATTTCCCATTAAATAATCATCATCATCAGTATATATGTATTTTTTAAAAAAAATTGTATAAAAAAAATCCAGCATAACTTACATCGATCTACACACACACACACACGCACACACAATAAAAAAAGCTTTAAACAGCAGAAAAAAATAATATTAATCATACAACTAACTCATTTTACTAATAATCATCATCATCGTTTCAATCAATAATTATTGAGTGCTATTCTTATTAATTAATAAAAAAACATAGTATAGGGAAAACAATATTTATGGATCGATAATAATACTACTCCTAATAATAGTAATAATAATAATAATAACCATAAGTGGTAATCACCTGTTATGATTATGATTATGATTATTATTTAAGTAAGAATATATGCAGTGGTATGCATGGATGGGATTTTTTCTTTTTTTTAACTAAAAAAAAATCATTGAACATAAATCACATTATCACAATTATTATTCAATGTTCATCATGTTTGTTTTTATTTTAATTTGAAATAAAAAAGTGCACACACACAAACACACACACACACATACAACTTTTATTATCGTTTTATTTTGAAAATGTGAAAAAAATAATGGGATGAACACTATTCAACAAGTGAATCGTAGTGTTTTTGTAGAGTGTTAAAATGAAAAGAGATTTTATTTTTTTTAGATTGGATATCTCATGTATGAATTACTGGCTAGACTAATACTAGAAACCTAAGGAAAAAAATGCACTAGACGTCTTGATATGTGTAACTTGTCAGTGGCAGGCAGTGCTCATCCACGACTTCTGCTACTGACAGGATTCGGAACTAGGAGTTTTGATCTTAATATCTGGAATACTGGACCAGCAGTGTTTATGGCTAACACTGATCAATCTGGGGATTTTGCGCAACCTCATCCATTTGTCTTTGGGTAGTTACGGATTACACCCCCAAACAGGGTTGAAAAACTCCATTGGTCACGTCTTCTCAACTAGCACTCCGAGAATTTCCTCATGTAACTAGTCTCTAGTAAGTAAATTGTACTTCCTGCTTCCGAATAATGATATATAACATTGATTGTGATTTCGCGAACATCTGTTTAGTTTAATCTAGTAAGTTACATTAAAATTAATAATAAGTATTGTATTGAATGTGGTATTAACTGAGCTAAGGTGTGACAACAGATTTGACAAAAAAAAACAGTCATAAAATAAACTATGTTCAACAAGTATTAACATTAGGAAACATTGTTTCATTCTAATATGAGTGTTTGACGATCTTCATCTTAGACCTATAGACTATAGATCAAACTCAGGAACTTTAGGCTTAAAGTTAAAACTATCACCGACCACCATTCTCCAACCTACTCTGTCCTAGGCTTCTCTTTCCACTTCTGTTCAGTTCAGCTGTTGTTTATTCTTCGCATGCCTGTATGCATTTCTCGGAGTTATGTGTTCTTTGGTCTTTCTGTTTTGCTTTGGCCCTGAGGATCCCAAGTTAGAGCTTGCTTCGTTATGTGGTTGGGTGACTTCTTCCTCAGTTGGATTCTGCCCTGTTCTTTACCACAATACGTTCTTGACAATGATGTCTAGCCAACGAATCCTTTGTTTCTTGCACAGACATTAATTTATCGAATATGAAAAGCATCAGTAATTCGATTAGAACATAACTGTTGTCACAGAAAAAACTGATGTAAAATTTTAAGCCTAAAATTAATCTCTCACGGTTAGTAGAATATTTCACGAATAGTATCTCTAAATATAACATTAAATGACAAGGATTAAACGTATACGGATAGAATTAGTTCCCTTAATATAGTGTGGACACGGCTTACTGTTCCATGGAAATTGGCACGAAAATTAGATTTTCAGATTCGTACCAATCGCCTAAAACTAAACGTTATTACAGAAAATTGCTTTCACAAAACCCTATGTTGCAAAGGCCTCTGTGTGTGAGGTGTTTTCTTTTTCATGGCCGGAGTATAACAGTACCTCTCCTGAAGTTAGTCTTTGTTGTCCAACCTGCATTCAATGTGTTTCACTGATTCCAAGCACCTCCAGGTTGAATCATTTCATTTATCCAGCAACGTGGAATCGTCTTCCGGTCTCCCACAATGCACGAATACTCCATGCACCTTAAAGAATGGTTGGTCTGGTTGTCAGAAGGTGCATCGGCCCCGTGACTTCCGAAGGAACTCGGCTTTCATCATGAGACTTCATAACTCTTCTTAATGAAGACCTTCTAACTCCCGGAACAGAGTTAAAATGGTTAGAATTATTTTTTCCCTGGCTAGCGTTTTTTAGAGAGTTAGTTTTTTTGGTGGGACAGGGGCACTAACCACATGCTCAAACGTTTTCCTTTATCCGGGCTTCGGACCGGCATTAGCGCCAGAGTGTCTCCAGGCGGCGTTTTTATGTTACCATTGAGCAAAATATTTCTTTCTTCAAAAAAACTGATATTTAACAATACAACTTTTCATTATAGAGTTAAGGAGGATCGTTGTTTATTATAGAAATAATAATAAGTCAATCATTGTTAAAATACCATAAGAAACCTGGAAACAATGGATGGCCGTTTCGTCCTGGTATGAAACTCATCATCAGTGTGCATCCAGGACAAAATGGCTGTCCAATGTTTCAAGGTTTCCAGCAATGGTCTAACAATGATTGATTTATGATTTCAATCATTTAATAATACAACAGTATTTTATTTCTCACCAGAAAATTG